TGTGTGTGTGTGTGTGTGTGTGTGTGTGTGTGTGTGTTACCAGGTCAAGACATGGGTCTTGGCCTCTCTGGTGCTGATGGAGATGGAAGATGAAGTGGAGGAGTGAGCTTTTCCAACAGCAGACAGAGGCTTTCCTCAGTTTCGTTCTCACTCTGAGGCCCTTAGGGAAACAGATGGGCATCCCTTAGACAAATACCCGGTATTTAGACTCCACCCACAGGAACTGTCAGAACACTTGTCTCTGTCTTTTGAGAGCACACACAACAGGAAGGATGGGAGCCCATGATTTGGTTAGTGGTCCTTATCTTCTTGGGTGCTTCCACCGCCACTCTGTCAAGACAATTAAGAACATCAATATTGCTGCTGCTCCAGAGGGTTGAGTCCATTTCCTTGAGCTGGAAAAACTTCTTCTGAAGAAAAGTCTGATATTACCAGGAGGGGAACACACTGAGACTGAAACACCTAACGAAAGTACAGTGTAGAGTGGCCAGTAAGGGCAGGTACTGGCCACGGACTCTGGTCCTTTTCCAGCTGGTTGCTGTGGGAAGGATTGTTGTGGACCCGGGGGAGGGGCTGAACGGTCTATGTGGCGGGAGAAACCTCTCAGTCTCTTGCTATTGGGACAGAAGATGTTTGCATTTTTGTATCTATTGGGCTGGCTTGAGGTAGGTTATTCACAATTGTAGCCTCTTTGTGAGACTCAAAGGCCTTGTCCCCATCAGAGGACTAAGGAAGCTTTGCTCTCTGACACAGAGAGGACCCACGAGTGGGGCTGGGCTATGATTGTCAGACGGAGGTGGGTGGAGGGTATTGGGAAAGCGAGTTCTTGTGGCCAGGAGATCTTGTGAGTGTCTCTTGGAGGATCAGAGCAATATCCTTTCCTAGAGTGTCCAAGGCAAGAGCACGACATCGTATTCTTGATTGATGGCTCGGGTAGCATCTCTTCCTCAGATTTTAAAAAAATGATGAACTTTGTGAAAGCTGTGATGAGCCAATTCCAGAGACCCAGCACACAGGTGTGTCCATAGGGTCATGGGAGTGGGCTTGCAGGGACTTCTGGGAAGGCTCAAAGAGCCTGCTGGGAAGGCTTGCTGGGCGTGTTTAGGAGTCCTGGAGAATCTTAGCCTTCAGTCCCATATGTTTCTTAGTTCTCCCTGATGCAGTTCTCTGATAAATTCTGGATACATTTTACTTTCAACAAATTCATGGCCGCTTCAAGCCCTTTAAGCCTGTTGGAGTCTATGGGACAGCTTGGAGGATACACACACACAGCCACTGCTATCAGCCGGGTCATGTGAGTCCAGAATTCCTGTGCACCCTTTCCCAGAGCAATCAGGGATCCCTTCGGGCCTCATTTGCTTTTCCAAGAAAGAAATGGGAAGAGCCTGAAATGTAGCCTGTGGACAGCCTTGCCAGTTGGGGGTTTCTGAGTGGGAGTGGGGCCTCCCACAGGAAAGGCTACGTCCTCATTTTCACAAAGCTGTTAGAATTCACGGTAGTTTTATTCACATACATCCAGACTCTCTTCTTTCTTGATAGAACAGAACTGTTCACGGCCCAAAGTGGAGCTCGGAAAGATGCCACCAAGGTCCTCATTGTCATAACTGATGGGATGAAACAAGGTGATGACAAGAATTATGATGTCGTCATCCCCATGGCAGAGGCTGCAGGCATCACCCGTTATGCAATCGGGGTAGGACACAAAGATGGTTACCCACCACTTCCTCCTGTAACTTCCTTCTGAAGCAACTTCCTCTGAAGGGTAGAAATCAGTTCTCTCATCTCCTGCTGCCTTAGGTATATGGAGCCAGGGAAAGGCTCCTGCAGCCTGGGGACCTTTGACCCATGGCTTCCACTCTCTAATTCTGTTTGAGCCTCATTTAGAAAGAATCTCTGGGGTGACTGAAGAGTTTTTGGTGGGTGGCAGCACATATAATGCCTTAGCCACTCATTGTGGTTAAAGCATCCAACAGAAACGCTTCAGGGAGAAATGTTTATTTTATTTTTCTTTCCTTAGGAGTTTCACACACAGTATGCAATGAAATGTGATCATTTAAAAATTTTAAAATTTCTGCCCCCATGACTACTTCCTGTTTCACCCAATCTCTCCCATTCCTAACTTCATGCGTTTCAAAAAATAAGCCACTAAGTTAGTGCTGCCCACAGGTTCGTGGCTGTGGCTCTGTCGTCTACCCAAGCACCAGAAACCCTACTAATAACCACACTCTCAGAGAAGGATGACTGCCAGCTATGATGTACAGATAGCTCCATGAGGCTCGGACATCATCTTTCCCATCTATGTGGGACTGTCGGCTGGCCTGATCATATGTGGGTCTTGTGATTGTAACCATATCTGGGATGTGTCCATGTATGGAACAGTCATGTCATGTCCGGAAGACAGTTTCACAGCACTCTTTCCCCTTATCCTCCGGCCCGTATGCCCTTTCTATCTCTTCTTCTGAGACGGAATGCTACATTTGGCTCACAGTTTCAGAGGGTCTCAGTCTGTGATGGAGGAGAAGGAAGGGTGGAATTCGTGGTTGTGGGGGCTATGATGTCATAGCTCTTCATTGTGGAGGACCAGAAAAGAGGCTAGAGAGAGTGGGGTGGGTGCTTGTATGATATCATTGAAAAGCTCATCCCCAGTGCCCTGCTTCTGCCAGCCAGCCCTCACCCCACAAGTTCAAACCATGAGCCCTTAGGGAGTTCTCAGACTCGAGCAGTAGCATTACGTGTAGGCCTAGGAGACTTTTCTTCTCACTCAGTTGGTCTTTGCTGGGGGCAGGTAGGAAGCGCCTTCTCCTACACATATTCCAAACAAGAATTAAATGAGATTGCGTCGGTGCCTTCCGAAGAGTATGTTTTCAACGTGGAGAACTTTGATGCTTTGAAGGATATTCAGAACCAGCTGAAGGAGAAGATCTTTGCCATCGAGGGTAAGTCAGCAGTGAAGCTGCCTGCCTCAGGAATCCTCAGGCATAGATAGAGTTTCCCTCTTTGAACCCAGACCCTCCTGAGCTAGGCACCAACCCTTGCTGAAGGTGTTGGTCTCTGATCTTAGATTCTCGTTAGAAGCTTCCTTGAACCTGGGAGATGTTCTTTCTCCCTGAAAGCCAAGCACCATGCCTTCCTCAGGTACAGAGACAGCCAGCAGCAGTTCTTTTGAATTGGAGATGTCCCAGGAGGGCTTCAGTGCCGTGTTTACGCCTGTGAGTTGAGCCTCTTTAAGGCTGGTGATGTAGGATGATGGAAAGAGGGCACTGGGGAGCCAAGTGCTGGCTCGATGAGTGTATGGGATGAGAGGAAGACTTCGTTTGGATTAGGCTGGCATCCTGATCACCCCGGGATCCTTTCCTCCCAGGATGGACCAGCTCTAGGGGCTGTGGGAAGCTTCAGCTGGTCTGGAGGCGCCTTCTTACACTCCCCAAATACGAAGCCCACCTTCATCAACATGTCTCAGGAGAATGTGGACATGAGGGACTCTTACCTGGGTAAGAAGAGGCTGTGGGAGGAGACAGGGTGGGAAGAGCTGCCTGAGAGCAGGAGGAGCCTTGGTGCTAAGGTCTGGGCCTCTCAGGTTACTCCACCGCACTGGCCTTTTGGAAGGGGGTCCACAGCCTGGTCCTGGGGGCCCCTCGCCACCAGCACACGGGGAAGGTTGTCATCTTTACCCAGGAATCCAGACAGTGGAGGCCCAGGACTGAAGTCAGAGGGACACAGGTTGGTATGGAAGAAGCTATTGTGGATCATGAGAGTGGGCAGTGTGGCCAGGGTGGAGAAGGAGGTGAACAGAGGGGCAGTGGGGCCCCTGGAGGAGGCTGTGGTACTGGGAGAGAGGCAGGACCTGGCCCAGAGGGGGCATCCGTGGATGACTTCAGGCTCGGCCCACCAGATCGGCTCCTACTTTGGGGCGTCCCTCTGTTCTGTGGACATGGATGGAGATGGCAGCACTGACCTGGTCCTGATCGGTGCCCCCCATTACTATGGGAAGACCCGAGGGGGGCAGGTGTCCGTGTGCCCCATGCCCGGTAGGGTAAGTGGTGAAGGGTC